TATTTTTTATTACGTGAATTAGGTCACCGTTAGTGGTGTTCCTGGTGAATGTGTTGTTCAATCTATGGAGGAGAGATTAAAACACGAACTAGAACAACCGGGAAAATGGTATGACTGGGTCGTCATTCTAGGAGGTAATAATGACGGTTTCATTTGTTTTTTTTAGTCATTGTATCTATTAAATTTTACTCACATTCATGATATATATATATATATATTTTTTAGGAACAAATGATGTGATCAATGGATACTCTGCCTGGGATATCTTTGATGGTTTAAAGAAATTGTATACATTATGTTCAAAACACGGTGCTAGAGTATTAGGAGTAACGATCCCTGAGTTCGATTGGGTATTTATTATATTACATTTTGATTAATATTTTATTCCACGGAATTTTTCTGAATTTCTCTAAATTACTTTTTATTTTTTAGGATCTTGTAAATCATCTTGACTACCAACGCCGTATAGTAAACGAACACCTAAAGTATGTCACGTGATACATCTTATATTATCGATCCTTTTATGTATGCTAAATGTATATTTATTATTTTATTTTTTCTTTAGTGTGTACAATAATAGCACTACAAGGAATGCATATACACTTTTCCTCTTGGATAAATTTTTCCCAATGCAATCTTTAACGACAGAACAACGTAGAATCTTTTGGGATCATGACGGTGTTCATCCTACAGAGGAAGGTTATGGTTTAATGGGTGATATGGTATTGTTATTTTTTTTTTCGATTAATGTAATATAATGTTTTTAATGTTTAATTTAATTTATTTTCAATGCTAACTAATAAATATAATATTATTATATAGATATTTGACATACTTATCAAGGAAGGTTCATGGGATTAAATGTAATTATTCCCCGAATATTTATAGTTTGAGCAAAATGACCTTTATATTATTTGCTCATAATAAGGCATCTTTTTTTTTCCTTTATTATTATTATTATAAAATTGAAACTTTAGTTACTTTTTGTTATATTTTCCTAATTACACTATATCAAATTCACTCCTCCCTTGCCTTACGTAAACGACAATGATTTGATTTGACATCAATCGAAAATAAAGGGAGTTCCCTTCCTTCACCCTCATAAATCATAATATTTCTCTATGGGATGAATTTTGATTACCACGATAGGAAAAAAATAAATATTCTTGGGTTATTATATTTATTTATTGTGGGGTTTTTGAATTTTATTTTTTTCAAAATTGTGGATCAAAAATGTTATTCCCATTTTTTTCAGTTCCTATATATTTTTAATGCACAAGACTACAAAATTCGGAGGAATACATATAGTACACATGGTTTAGTCGTTTGGTTTCGTTTCTTGTAAATGAAGGATAAAATTCAAGATTTGATAGAAAGTGTTTGAAGAAACGTCTGGTTTGAGAACCCTTTCTTTCTCTTGACTTTTTTCTTTCTTTTTTTTTTTTTTAAAACAAAAATTCAGTTTGAACATATATACGATTTTTTTTTATATAGATTATGATGCATACAAAAAAAAAAAATTCTTTAATAATTTCAAAACCCTTTTTTATTTAAATTTATCTCGTTATTAATTATTTGTTCTTAGTCCTCTTTTGTACTTAATAGAAATCCTTTCTTTATTACTAAAAAAAAGATAATCAATTTTTTTCTTTTTTCGATATCTCCTCGTAAAAATATATATATTTCAATCTTTACCAATAGTAAAAAAACGTCAAGCAAGAATTCATTTATCCAACATATAGTTTGTTACAGGAGACATTTTCGAGAAATAATGAACCAATTGAAATACTTTTTCATGTATATTAATGAACGCAAGGAAGGATAAAGTCAACATTTTATAACAATCAAAAACTGTAAAGAACTTTTTTGAATTGTAAAGATTTTGGAGGGTTAAAGAATTTTTTTTAAGGTTCTTTTTAGTATATCATCATAACATTACATGAACAAAAAACACATGTTTATATTTTTTCTTGTATATAGTTTTTTTTATTAAATTATTAAAAAAAACCTCATCCCTTTTGATCATTATCATATGTTTTTATTGTTTGTTTTTTTCTCGTTTTTGTTGTTTGTTTTTTTCTTCAATATTTTTTCTACAAAATATTTCATTCCTTTTCTAAAACAAATATTTTTTTAATTCGCGGTTACTTTTTTTTTTTCGCATATATATTTTTTTTTATCTTCGTTGTTCTCTTTTGTTGTTGTATATGCGTCATTAATTAGAAAGCATTTTCTATTTATGAGTTATACGACAACACATTATGTTTAATATTCCATCAAAAAATTTATGATTTTTTTATAAGAATTTTATCACCTATTTTTCAAGATTTTTTAACGTTCGAAAAAAAAAAAATCGAGTCCCCTTTATAGAATCTGTATTTTTTTATACAGATTCTGGATTTTTTTTAAACATTAGCTCTTTTTTAGTTCTCAACTATTATTATTATTTTTTTTTTTTTTCGAACAATCCGAACAATCCGAACAATCATTTACAAAAAAAAAACATCTCATTCAAATTTTTTATAGGTTATATACACGAATATTTATGAAAATACTTTTCAATTTTTTTTATCGCATTGCATTTTTCGGCATTTTGTATACTTTTTCGTTAGTCCTTTATAGACTTTTTCACCCATACCATACATACCCTTTTTTTTTTTATTTTGTACCTGGTCTTTTCTAACATACGTTTTTTCTTTCCTTGGTTCAAATAATGGTTAAAATCTGATGAACATTTTTTTTTTTTTTTTTTTATTGTTTCTCTTTTACCTTTTTTTTCGTTCTGGCAAAAAAAAAAAAACATTATCTTTATTACTTACTACTTACCTTTTCGTACCTGGCAAAAATAATCTGAAATTTCGTAAATTTTTTTTTTTCGATAAAAAAAAAATAAATAAAATAGAAAATATTTGAAAATATTATTATTATTATTTATCAAAGTTTGGGTTTTCTTTGGGTTGTATATGAATATAAAAAGTGAAATACTATAATAATTGAAAAATGAGAAGAGTGACCAAATTATTATTTTTTTATTATTTCGTTGGGGGAAAAAAAAAAAAAAAGAGAAAAAAAAAAGAAATTTAAAAAAGAATTAGGAAAAAAGAAAAGTACAGTATATTATTATTATCCTAATTTTTTTTTTTTTTTTTTTTTTTACGTAGTGAGTTAGACAATGAAATCTGATTGTAAAACAATGACCAAAGCAAACCATTTACAAATTAACAATGAAAAAATTTTTTTTCAGAATGCTGGAATGAATGAAAATGAATACAACAGGAATAAAATGAATCAATTTAGTTAATATGTTTTAATGCACTTAGAAATTATTAATAATTTTTTTTTTCTTATAGTAAACAAATTAGGTCATATGCCAAATAATGCATAAAGACTATCACACGAGAAAGGAGAACAAAATACAAATTCGGTAGAGTTTTGATAACGCAAGAAAAAAAAAAAATTCATGGCACAATGATGATGATTGTTATCATTTAATTTTTTTTCTTAGTTGAAAATAGTTCGTTCGTTCGATTGACTAAAATTGGTTTATATAGAACAATGGTAATGCAAGTTGTTTGAAAGAACTAGCATTCATTTAGGTAAAACGGAAGAGAAAATTTAAAAAATGATTATTGGATAATGCAAAGATACTTTTCGGGCATAATGTTTCGAGGAGATGCCCTGTTTATTTATTTACATTACATATCCGTCAGAAAAATATTTTGTCAAACATAACATAACATAACCATTAAATATCGTTATCGCGCGTATACGTACGTAACAAATAATATCTGAAATTATTATTAAATTATCTGTTATTAAATATTAGGTTAATTATGAATATATATTGAATCTGAATTTTTTTTTATATCAGATATTTGAGAGTTTTTGAGTACGCGTTTTCGCGTTCCTTCTTGTGTTAAAGATGGTCAATTCAATGTAAAACTACTCTTATGGTAACAAAAGCTTCATTTTTTTTCTCACACCATTATTTTCACACATTAATAAATTGTAACGTGTAACCATGTGATTTTATTTACCTTTTTTTTTCCTAAAAAAGTTGTTACATCGAAAAACAGGTATGATTATGTTTTGTTATTGTTTGTGTTTCGGTGTTCATCCGGATTTTTGTTTCACCATTAATCATCGAACATTCTGAATTATACGTTATCTCCACATCTTTCGAATATTTACCTATTTACGGAACTTCTTTCTTTTCGGAAATATTATTAATACGTAAAATTCCCCAGCTTTTTTTTTTTTTTTTAATATTAAACAAAACGTGACCTAATAAAAGATTTATTTAGGAAATTCTCAATCCTGTTCGATTTTGATTCGATCTGATTCTGATTAAATTAGTATTAATTCTGTTGATCGATTAAAATTAAGAAAGTTGAGCTGTAGATACTTTTTCGAATCTTTTCGTTAATTCGTAAAGATTTTCAAAAATTTTCGGTCCTACTAACAGTGTGTGATACCGTTAAAGGTTTCACTTATTTTTTATTAATAATTGGTTTAATCCCCTTTGATTAAATTGGTGTTGATCTTTTCAAATAATTTCTTGTGATCTAAATATTTATTACTATTATTTTACAGTGTATTCAATTTTGATCACCCCTCATTTTTAACCCATGAAATCCAAAAATAAAACCCATGGAAATGTTGCAAATATTATAATTAATTAATTTGATCAGAATAGAATTTATATAGACAATTCTCTCTAAACCAAACACTTGAACCGAATTTTAAAATTACAGTACTGTATTTAAATTTATTATAAAATTCGTATTAAATAATTGGTACATTTTTTAAAACGGACCTTTTTAAAAACTACTATTTTTTTAATAAATCCCAAGGTTTGAGATTTGATGATTGACCTGTTTGATCAATTTGTACCAATAAAAATTATTAATAAATTACAAAAAAGATACAGTAATTTAGACAAAATACATCCATCCAATAATTTCTGTAAGTTTATTCTTTTCAATTTTCATGAATTCCTGTATACCTATACCATTACTCGCATCCAATACTCCAACTCCATATCCTCCAAGTGACGTTTCATAACATTCAAAACAATGCGGTGAAGCGATTAAAGCATTTTTAACAACTTTGATTTGTTCTTTTGATACATCTATTTTTTTTACATAAAAATTTTTATATTAGTTTCATATTATGTCATATTAATAATGGATAATAGATCTTTCAAATATTTTTAAATTACCATTACGAACAAAAGTAAATGCACATCCTCCTCCACCAGCGCCTGTAAGTTTTGTATGTAAATCATATTGAGCTGTTATTTCTCGGACTTTATCTAAACTTGGATGACCTACGCCAAGCGAATTTAATAGGTGATGATTCATATCAACAAGTTCCTATATTTTTTTTTTTCGAAAATATCTTTTAATTTTTTATTATTTAAAGGCGCGGTGTACAGCATCTATATATACCTCAGTTTTCTCATAAAATTCTTGATCATCCTCTACATTAATTAAATTAATTCATAAACATGCTATTAAATAATTGATAGATAAAACTAGTAGTAGTAAGTATACTTACTTATTTCACTTTCTAAAATTTCTTTAAATGATTCACCAATATCGTGAATTGCTTCCAATATCAAATTAACAATCTTTGGAAACTAATAAAATAAAATAAAAATTGAAAAAAAACATACAATAATAATAATAATAATAATAAATAATAATAAATTTTATTAAAAAAAAAGAAAAACGCGTCTTTTACCTTGTCAAGTCTTGTTTTAACATTGGATACTAGAGTCTTCGTACTACGTTGTACTTTGGTATTGGTTATTAAAAAGCGCAAAGACCGAGTTCTTTTTAAAAAAGATCCTGTCAATTTCAAATAAAAAAATATATACTACAATATATCAAAGAAAATAAATAAATACCTCTTTATACTTTGAAATACGCCATCAGTGAACATTATAATACCTCCTATAAAATAATATCATTAACATTTTAATTTTTTTAATTTAAATAAATTCAAATTTTTTTTAAAAATTTACCACTAGTTATTACTGTATTATCAATTCCAGATAATGATCCATGAATAACTTTTTCGCCTTGATATGCCCATAAATTAATTAATTCTCTTGATATTTTAATAGCTTGTTCATTACTTTCATGAGGTGATAAAATATGACCAAAAGCAAGTAATAATCCTGTAACCAAACAAACTGAATATGAAGCAGATGATCCTAATCCTGATTCAATTGGTAAATTCGATCTAAAATAAATTGTCATTCCACTCCTAATAAATAAGTTTAAAATTCTTTTTAATTTTTTTTTTTAATATAAAAAAAATTATTAATTACTTTAATTAAATAATATGAAAAAAAAAAAGTACCATGAAGTTTGTGAATTATATTCCAAATTTGTATATAAATAAAGAAATGTACAAGCAGCTGTTTGTTGTAAATGATCAAGTTCTTGATCTTGTCCTTCAAATAAAATTGATTTTATTTTATGTAAAAGTATATCATTAAATTTTAATTTTTGTGGTTCTATTTTTGCATTTGAAAAAAAAAAAAAAAAAAAATGGATAAAAAAATCAATTTCATTAATTAAATAAAAGAAAATTTTTAAAATAAATTTTTATTTTTTTTAATTTTTTATAAAACCTTTGATTTCAACATTATTTACTAAATTATATGGTAACGCAGAAGTAGGCCATAATAAAGCACGACGAATTCCAAGGTCTGGCAAATTCAATTCAAGGTATCCGTCTAGTCGTTTTTCAAATAACGCATAAGTTCGTAATTCGTCAAGACTTCCGGCTATTGCTGTCTATTTATTAATTATCGAATATTATCTGTACGTGCATACATATATACAAAAGGATAAAATATATGTAATTATGTAGAATTTTGAACCTTACCTTGCCATAAACAGCTGCGTGTTCTCCAAATAAAATAACTTTTCCTGGTGCTGAAACTATATATCTATCT